AAAAAAAAAAAAAAAAAAAAAAAAACATGACTGTCAGGAGTAAGTACTTACCCCAGTGTGTCCTTACTGCTGGCTCCCAAGTCTGACACTTTCAGATCTGGTAAAGAGAGGGAACTGTGTTGTTAAAATGAAGGATTAGTTATATAAATCGAGGGGAGGATTATCTGCAGTGTCCACATGAAACATGTCCAACTTCTCTTTAAAACCAACACATTCATTGTATGCTTTATGATATACTATATTATTAAACCTAGCCATTTAACTGTCATGTTTTATTATTTAAAGATAATCATTGTCTCAGAAGCCAGAAGTCAAATCAAGTAACACCCTGAGTTTCAGATACAAGAGAGGTCAGCACCTTCATTTTCACATATGAGATAGAATTTGCAATCAGGGTAATAAATACTGGATCTTGTTTTCTATTTCGGCATTTCATGGTACCTGACTTTATCCAGGTCACATTACCTGAGCTCTCTTCTGTCTCCGTCTCCTCCTCCTCTTCTTCCTCCTCAGTGGCAGGTGTCTCCATTATTTGTGGTACAGGTGCTCTCTTACTGGGGCTCTTAGAGGGGCTCCCTGCACGCTCTCCAGCTGGGGGCTTTCTGGGGGCAACAGTGGGCTATACAAGAATCACCAAATAATATATGGATTAAGTGTGGTAACAAGTATAAGAGCTCTCAAATGCAGACTGATTTATGACATCAAGATCAGGATTGTTATTGCTGCATCTACAGGGAGATAGAGACAATCAATTCCAGACTGTCTCGTGATCTCCATTTCATAATCAGACATTAGCCTAGGTTTAAAAAAGAAAAAAAAAAAGAAACAAACTCTGAACATATTTTATTGCAGATCCTGATGAATTTCGGGAACAATCAGAATTGAATTAAAAAATGCAGAATTCTGCATTTCTGCGGAAAAAGCTCATGTCTGCTAATTATTGTTACTGCTATAAAAAGACAGAAATATAAACCCTATACTTACAGGTCTACAAGTACTAGCAAGCTGTTTTATATCCTGCTACAAGGAGACAGACACTGGAACCCTATACTTACAGGTCTACTGGCCAGCTGCTCTATTTCCTGCTGCTGTCTCTGGATTTCCTTCTCTCTCTGTTTGAGAAGTCTGTCCTTCTCCTTCTGGGCCTGCTTCATCTCTCTGGATTGCTGAAAGGATTGAGAGATTAAATCAGACACATAGCTACACAGAAGAAATTTTCCTGGTTATATTCATGTTGGCAAAGTTTTTTTCCTCAAAAAATTTAGTGATTCATTAAGTTATTGCTCTTTTACCTTATTATAACC